CAAAATTTGTTATCCTACTTTGATGGTAACCCATGCTAGGATGTCTAAAGATGCCGTTCTAATTCTAGTTGAAAGTCATACTCTTGTTGATGAATTGTCCTGCGATGTGTGGTTGAAACAAAAAAAGTGATGTTAAAGACAGTAATTTTATAAGGAATATATAATAACAGCGTTATTTGCGTCTCAATATTTTTTTTAAGTGAAAATTTATTTATGAATAAAATATTCTTAACGAACATGTTTTCATTCCAACAAAAAATTGTAAAAAAAAAAAAAAAAAAAGTGGGCATTGTGATTGCCATAACCATGGCAATCTTTCAAACTTGACCATTACACTCTCTTATTGAAATATACATGTGTGAAGCATGTGGTTATATGTTTATAGTAGATAGATATATGCTTTGATGATATACCTCACTCTCTCTTCGTCAGTGGGTTTCTTGAAACTATAACAATGCATCTAAGAATTTCTTGATAAGTTGAAGACGAGGGTAAAGATGGAATTGAAAAAAGTATTTATCAAGATTGAATTGAGACATATTTGTAGGAATAATTGTGATAGATAATCAGTTTTTACAGTTATTTGGATCTTTTACCAGCAAAGAAGAAAAGAATAGTGAATCTTCGCCTTACGTCACTTTCTCCCGTGCACAAACACCGATACTTATCAACGGCTGTCAAATATTAACCGCTTATACGACGTGTCGCTCACCCATTCGCCAGCATGCGTAACGTTTACTTTTTTTTCTTTCTTTCTAGCGTCGTAATTAATAAAGAAAAAACGTTAACAAAATTGCTCTGCTGTCACTTGGACACATTCATTCTTCCTTGATCGGGGTTGATATGATTATCGGACTGTCACCATCTCACCTCTCACAACCCATTCCTCTTTCTCTCTCTAGGTAATATGAGGGCCCACGTTTACATCATTTTTCCCGGGTGGGTCCGGATGGGCCCGAGATTGATAAGCTTCTCATCTAATTTTGAATAAATGGGCACTGAAAAATTGAGGAGATGATGATGTCTTGAGTTGGAGGGGGTGGGGCCTAGCAGCTGCAATCAACACGTGCCCATGTCCGTGGTGCTGACGTGGACCAATCGGAGCCGTTTAGTTTGACCCCAACGTCACCGACAGCTTGGCCATTCTGTCACTGTTACGGTACGCTTCGAGACTTGAGAGTGAGAGAGAGAGAGAGAGAGAGAGTGGTGGATTCATACTATTTCCAACCCAATTTTTACTGTTTCTGTTGCTATCGTGCGTTTTGGGTTTCGGGCACTCAAAAAATAAAAAGAAGGGAATATGAATAAAAATAACCCCCCCACACGTGCACAAACTCGCGAGCAATTATTGTTGGTCCCACACATTAAAGTCCTAAATTTTAATGCACAGAAATGTGCTTAATTAAGGGGGGTGTTAATGAAGATAATATGATTAATTTTGTGTTTATGTGTTTAGGGTTTGCGGAGAGAGGAAGAAGGTCAAGGTTGTGGGCCTCTCGTTTTTTTTTTTTTTTTTTTTTTTTTTTTTTTTTTTTTTTGTCTCTGTCTTTCTTTTTCTATCTATCAAGTAATCAAGCACAAAGTACAAATTGGAAAATGAGAATGAAAACTAATGCCACACGGAGGGTGAGAGATATCACTTATTAAAGAGGATTGACCCCCACCCACAGCCCCTCCAACCCCACCTCCACCGAATTATTTTTGACTGGGAAACTGCTTGCCTTCTTCCTTGAAAGAAGAATTTTTTCGTTTTTTTAAATTATAATTTGACACATATGCAAAAATAATTTATCGAAAAATACAAAAAAAAATTTCACACGTATCAAATTTTAATTTGCAGGAAAATAAAGGCTTCTACTTCCGTTCCAGAAAAAGAAGGCGAGTATTTTTCTTTCGGCTATGAGTTCTATGGAGAGAGTCTGGCCATACATGGGTGATTGGACAACCCTTCAAATACAGAGAAGTCACATTGTAAAGCCCAGCTAGCCCAGGGAGAGATACAGCTAATGGCACTCGTGTGGCTTTATGAGTTTTGTCATTTGCATCTACTTTTTAAATAAATAATTGCAAAAGGGTCTTCTTCGTCTCATAATTATCAACCATAGACTGTACCATAACAATATCATCCTATTCAAAATATTATCCACACGATTATTGCTAATAAGGCAGATTCGGGGATAGAAATTTATATGCCTATTTTCCATGTGATATATTTAACAATACAACAACGCATGTCATGTGACAGAATAATTCAGTAGAGTTTTTCTTAATAATGTCACGTTTGACTAAGGTGAAAGATAAGTTCTCAATGGAGTCTTTACAATCGATGTGGTTGGAGATGAAAATGTTAGGCCACAATGCCTTAATGTCTTGCTTGGGTCAAACTCAAACTATCCCTAGCTCATAAGTATAATTGATAGGCATAAAATGTAGGGCCAAAGCAGCTGTATGTGAACCAAATTTTCTTCTGTGTCTAATTTCTGTGTGCATTATTTCTCCATCATAATTAAAAGAACCTGGCTGTTCATGACCAATTTTAGGTATGATTTTCTGGTAATTACACTGTGCATGCTCTCATTTTTCTTGCTTTGTTAGGCCTTGGGGCTGTTTGTGCCTCACTTTTTCTATCACTTTGTACAATGCGACTGCTATCAATATATTACTCCTTTTTACAAAAAAAAATACAAACAGTATTAAAGAAGAAAGAAAATTTAGGATTTCAGGTACATAGAGAAATACAAATAATTAAATGTGAACGTATTATTGAGAGTTGGGACCAAAAAAAAAATTGATTGATTGATTGATTTTTTTTTTGTTTTTTTTTTTTGGATGAGCTAAAGTTTAGAGGGAGATTAATTACTTTTATCACCAGCATCAAGGCAGACCCACAACCTCGAGACAGAAGGAATTACACATGACACCCAACTGCTAGCTGCCACTAATGTGAATTTATGTAGGAAATTATAAATTACGCACTAATGAGAGTTGCTGAAAACGGAACTCAAATATTAATGGGACTACACACAGTACAAGAAACCTTACCAATTAAACCATCCCTCATCCACGAATTCAGAAACATTTTTCATGGTGCCACTGCCATTAGACTTCACATTACAAATGTTTTTTTTTTTGGTAAAATTCACCTGGAGTGCAAATGGCGGCAGAAATGCATAGCTGGTATTTGCAGTACTTGAACAGTAAAGTAGGTGAAGAGGCACCTTAAATACGTCAAAGTCAAATCACTGCCAGAATATCATTTTTTCCATTTTGTTTATAATTTTATTTCGATGCTGTTATGATTTTACTAAAAAACATGCACCAACTTTGACCAAAGGGAAGAATTATTTTTTTCCCTATACGTCAAAACTTCAAACAAAGCACGGATAGAACCAGGTGACACCAAAGGGTATGCGGGTAGAGGTGGCATTTTAGACTAAAAAATTAAAAAATCGTAAAAATTAATTGACATTATACTACATTGAAACTGCAATATCTAAAAACCGATCGAAAATTGCGGTTTTAGAAACCGAACCGCAATTGCGGTTGCGGTATGTGATTTTGGCAACTCGGGGTTACCACAAACCACAAATATATTTTTTTTTAAAATTGCATTTTAGTAGTTAGATGTGTTTTAATTTGGTTGAGTTTAATCTATTATTAATATGCTTTTATGTTGTTGCTTTTGTGTTGTGTTGTGTTATATATGGAGTCTAGCCACTCTAACACACCTAATAACTCTAATCCCCCAAACACAAACCGATACACCCGAAACACAACCTCCACTCCAACTTGTAAAGAATGGCTTCTTCTTATAATAAAATCCACTCACCACCACCTACACTTGAGTTCTCCTTTTGGTTTGTAACTTTAATTAACTTTGAATTGGATTTTTCTTTAGATTGTGAATGCTTGAGAAGTTGAGGTTGTGAATTTATATTTTTTGGTTAAAATATGCTTGAACTCAAAAAGCTTCAAAAGAAGCATCAAACCTAGGCTTAAAAGTGTGGAAGATTGAATTTTTATGACACAAAAAGACCACACTTAAAGATCTAAAATTGTCTAATTTAGGCCCAAAATATTCAAATCGGTTTAAACTGTTAATTCATGGTAACCGACTTATTTTTGCGGTTTCAAAAATCATCTTACCGAAAATAGTCGGTCGGTTTGATGTTCGGGGAAAAATTTGGGTTACTGAACGCAACCACCCCTATATGTAGGTATTCCATACCATGATTGTCCACAGTATCCTTTTTTTTTTTTTTTTGGTTTGAAATTTATAGAAATACTATTTGAACTTCTAGACATGTTGTGTGATTCTCAATTGAATTTGTTAGTTTTTATTATTAATCATCTGAACTCTATAAAGTGTTGTAGTTTACTCCTTATGTCATGTTATGTCCACTTTTTTTGTTACAACATATCACATGCCCCTCACTTGGAGGGATGTTTTAGTTCATCTACATGTATAGGGCTCGCTGATGAGGAAAATCAATTTGGGAGGGAATTGGGACATTGTAAGTTCAGATGGTATTCTTGCAAAAATCTCTTAGATTTTTTGTTTACACAAAGGATATTAGAGAATGAGAGAACATAACACAGTAGTTCATATGCAAATTAACCACTCTTAACCACTTGAGTTACAATTCCCTTATCGTATAATTTCAAAGAATTTGCTTTATGTTCACAGATGCATAATTCCCCATGCTTCAAAACAATGGTTTATTTCAGGCCTGCGCTGTATGGTTGTTTTAAATAGGCAGATCTATGATGTGTATTGGGACCACCAAGAGTGTGAATCTGCAAGAAACACTTGTAGAGTTTCAATTATTCTGAATTCTCCTGTATACTAAACCCACCTAACACATACCAGAATTTCATAAAAACCTTTTTAATAGCTGATGATATGCAGTGCAACTTATTGAGGCCCAGTATATGAACATTTTCGAATTCATTGGTTAATGCCAAACTGCATCAAGCGAAGACAGATAAATAGGGTTTAATTCTGTCAAAATAGAGTTTACCACATGTTATTACCTCACATTAGATGGTCTGAAATTAATTTAATAAACAAATTTAAACAAATTACTATAAAAAAATAACCTGTGGTACAAGGTAACTTCCAGGGGCTGAAATTTTACACCCATGCAATGGGAACTTTCGCTTTGACTAAATTCAAGAACACAAATATGAACTATGGTGAAAACAAAAAAAGTATAATAATCAAGGGATCTGGCTTTCTGGTTGTGAAGAAACTCCTTGAATCAGCTGTTCTATGTTGCTCTCTCTCACTCTCTTTTTAGATTTATCCCCGACTGTTGTCACAACCTGTCGCTGAATTCTATACCTTCTCATCGACTTCAGAAGATTCTGATAAAGCACTGTTCTTTTGGGATTTGCTGCTTGGAAGACGCTCCTTGCCCCCTGGCTTGGATGAGGCGTTGCCGTACCAGATCATTCCCAATATCGCAATGAACATACCCATAACTACTTGATGATTGAGACCCTCTTTACCGAAGAAAATGAACCCTAGGATCAAGACTAGAATTGTCTTCATATGGCCAAGGACTTGAAATGACACAGCCGTAAATCTACCAATGCAGATGAACTGGCTGAGGTTGGTCCCTACCGCAATGGTGCAAGACAGGACAATTAACGACTGCAGGAAACAAATAGCATCGCAAATCACTAACCGTAGTCACAAGTTATAGCCAGCCATAAGCAAAATGTAGGTTGTCACAAGTCATAATAAGCAGCTGTTAGGAAAATGTATTTGCATATGTGCTCACAGGCATGCACGTTTCCAGCTCTATAAATTGTGGGATAATCCTACCATGGTTCACACACAACACCATTTAAACTCAATTCATTTTTATTTATCTGAAAAGACCTATGGTATTATGATCTTGCTAAAGTTTTCTTAACATTGAGGAATATTTGTACCAATCAGGCCCTAGGAGGGAAACACAGCTCTACAAGAGAAAAAAGTCACCTGTACACTTATGAAGGTAACCACAATGAAGAAACTGTGTATTAAACGAAACATGAAAATCAATTGATCTATACTTAAGAAGTATCATGATGATCACTTCTTTATTCGATTGTACTGGTAGAAAGAGAAAAAAAAAATCGACGACGGGTAAGGGAGTGTGTGTTGGTGTTTTTGTGTGTGAGTGAGAGAGATCTATTTATAAGCAAACATTTGGTTGTAGGATATCGTAGGCGATCATGCATCATCAATTACGTTCACCTTAGGATGAAGACATTAGGATCAACAGAGTAATGAGAGACGTTGAACATTCAGCAGAGTTATTGCACAGGAGAACCAGACTCCTATTTGTGAAGTTTTTGTCATTAAAAGGTTTTGATGAACGCTTGAAGTGGCAAAGAATTTTGTGCAGTAATATTGGCTCTTTTTCAGAGTGATACAATACAGAGACAGGAAAGATGGTTTCTATTCCTTACAAATAATACTGCAAAAACTAATTGACTTGGCACCATAAATCTCTTATGGAATCTGCCAAGCAAAATTTTCAGGTTCACCAGATTAGGAGCTGCCCCCATTGAGTAGACAGAAAATACATGAAGTAATTAACACAACCACGCATGTAGTGCTTACAATTGAAACAATAATCAACATTACATTGAAGCAATCAAGGATCTAGCTAGATAGACTCAATTCATATATCATGCAAATTTATCATGTTATACAAGGAAAAAAAACCTAATAGGAAACCTGATAAGACTAACACTATTTTGAAGGGTTAACTATGATACTGAAAATAATGAACATGCAGTCACAAACAAAGACGTGTGTATAAGTATCAAAGCACATGCAACTGAGGATGAATAATGGAAGCACATATCACATAAGTGTGTAAAGGCTAAATGAATCATGATGTAATTGGGCCCAAATGTGAAGGCATGCTTGTATAGACTATGGAAACTTAAACCTTGCCATAAAATCTAGAAATAATGAGACCAACATATATGTAACTTACCATGGATATCAAATGATAGTCATACGCATAAACTATTTTATTTGTCAACCAGTAGTCCAAGAAGGGCCCCAATATCAGCAAAGATGCTGCCTGTACTGGCGCAGTATGTCCCAATAAGTTGAAAGATCCAAGCGAATACTTCCGTTGCAGAGAGTGTACATACTACACAAACATAGATATTGAACAATGTAACACAATGCAAGGGGATGTATAAAATCAGATCTGGCTAAGGTGGGGCTTGGAGTTAACCAACATGAGTCAATACAATCTTTCATTTAGGATCACATCCTAAACACAAACTGATCCTGATAATCAACATCTCACAGCCCCACCCATTTAGAAACAAAATGGTTATTATATTATGGTTAGTTGGTTAAATAACTTGAAATTTCTTTACTGGATACATGTTAAAAATAACAGGTAGAAATATGGAAACCCCAATGAAACTGAAACTTGATTCAGTTGGGCCCCAGGAGCCCAGGACTAACTTAACGACCCCTAACCCATTCCATCCTGGCGCTGTCTATATAAGATTATGAATTCAGTTAAGAGTTACTTACATGCTGTTGCAGGGAAGTGCTCCAAACTGCCACTAAAGCAGCTATAAAACCCTTGGCATTGACACTCACATCAGTAACAGTACAAACTGCAACACCGAGGAGAACCAATGTTATGCTTAGTTTTGTGCTCCTTGAGTATCGAACATTGTCCAAGACAACTTCTAGAAAACATGATACTGGGATCATAGTTAGCTTTGCGATCTGACAATAAGATTTGAAAGAAAAAGAACGTTAGCTTATCAAATCTATATCGAAGAAAGAGAAGTGTTCACTAGTTTACCAAAACTCACCTGATAGAATCCCACAGAGTTCCACATTAAACTCACATTCATTCCGACTATGGAGAAATTCGCAAATAAAACAAACTTCAAAAGATCAGGCAATGGTAGCTGAGAGGGCTGTATATATCCCAGCCACTTGAGAATAACTGTCAGTAAGGTTGTTGTGGCAAAATGCAGACCCGTTAATGTTGTAGCTGCATTATGTAGAGAAAAATGTCAACATGGATGAAAATCTTCTGGTACATTTACCCCAAAATAAAATCTTCTGTTTCTTTGGAAGCAGTATGTTAGACTATGAAGCATGCACACTACTAGAAGGTGGCCGTGCCTGTTACACATTAAGAATACACCTTGGACAGAGTCCACAGTAAATCATTTTGCATTTATATCCAGACCTACAGACTTGTTACTTTCTCCTTCAAGAAAAAAAGTATTTCCAAAATATGATTTAGAGGATTTTATTCCACTTAAGGACAGGGACACTCAAGTGCACAAAAGTCAAACTCCTCATCGAGAAATTTTTTGCTTATAAACCAACCTTACAACTATACTAGGATTAAACTTAAATAAAATGGTATAGTTTTACAGAGAAATCTTTAAAAACTAATAAGAAACGTATATTCAAAACGTACCCCATCCAAATCTTATCATCACTATATGCAATCTATCTTATTTAGTATGCAAAAATTGTTTGCCCATCATCCCTACATTTTGATCTTGCAACTGACAAGAAATGAGGGGCCTAGAGACTACAACAAATTGGAGGAAGAGCATTACACAGGTAAAGACTATAAGTCTACAACAAATTGGAACATCTCCATTACAAAGGTATTTTTGTTTATTTTCCTGCACCGACTTTCAGTTATAACTATTGGAACCTAAATCATTAAGTAGAATTAACATCTTTACATTTCATTGGGGGGAAATGGGGAAGTGATTACGGAGCATCAAGGGGAGTGAATACAATTTGGTAAAAAAAAATATATATAAAAAAAGGCAATGTTCCGAAACGGAAGTGAATAAAACTTTTCCAACTCAGGAGAGGATAATAGAAACCCAAAGGCCAAGAATAAATAGTTTCATATAATTTACAAAAACTTAAAAATGTAAAACAGAAAACCTCCTTTTCGCCAATCAATATGATTCTAGGAACTAAAATCCTCAGAAATTGATAAATCTTCTAAACAAAGGCATCAAGAAGAAAAAAAAATTCAATTGATTAGATAGGCAATGTGAATGAAGAAATTCAATGAGTAAATCATGACAACAGAAACATACCGAAACTGAACCCATGAGTAGCCATCAATGATTTATTGACAATGATTATTCCAACAGATGTCACAACATTGAACAACCATGATGCAGCATCAAGAGATGCCTTCCTATCTGCTTTGCCTGCTGAAGTCATTTTTAACCTATAGCTTCAAATTGATCACCAGATTCTTCACTGCTCAGTCTTCATAAAGCTATGAGCTGAATATCATTGACCAATAGTTCTATCTGTGTAAAAACGTCATGTTATTTAAGGAAAAAACAATATGAAGCATTCTCTTTGCGTGCAAGTAAACCCCAGAAAAGGCACAGCACTCTTTGACAATGCTGTACGAGATTATAATTTACTAGTTTACCAACGTATATTGAACATAAAACAAATTAAATGACAAGTCTGTGGGACAAACTGTTAAAAAATCCCCCACCCACATATTGTCAGATTTGAAGAAAAACCCTAAAAAAAACTAATCAACTCTGGTCAACAGAAACTGAACTCAGCAGTTTCACATACCGTGCTTCAAATAAGCCAAATTGATCCCCGATTTGAATTCCTAGACTAAGATACTTCTAAGAAAGAAAAAAGAATTATCAAATCGATGAATTCAGACTAGAAATAAAGAGAATGCCAGAACTAGAACACAGCAATACAGAAAATGGAAAACAAATTTCCGGAAACTGAAGCGGCATTATTATTACTATCCCACACAGATCCATAGAAAACCACAGGAAAACAAAGTATGATAATAATTTGAATTGCAAATCACATAGCCGAGAACAGTTCAATGGAAGTCAAGTCAAGCAAGCAAACCCATTGCTCAGATGAAATGAAATTCTCGGGAAACAAAATTCGAGATGTGAAATGAAAAGCAGAAACAAAAGTGCGAAGCTCAAAGCACGAACCTCAGAAACGAAGAACACGAGGAAGGTTTGGAGAAGGCCTCGGGATCTGCGCAGTTAATAGGAGCCTGAGAGAACGTCAAGAAATCAATGGCGTTTGTGAAATTGAGGAACGCCGCCCTCTCCATTAAAGACAGAGATGGAGACGTAGACTGTGAGGAAGTGAAAGAGCCGCTCTTACCTCTACGTTTTATCTTATTATTAATTAATTAATTTTTGTTTATTTTTTTAATGGGGTTAATTAATATTTTAATTGGGTTTTGATTTAGAGGAGGTGCTTCATTTTGTGCGCATTCCGTGATATAAGGAGCAAGGGAATATTTCTGGGATCTTTTTTGTTTGAGCAATAGCCATCCATCCCCGCATGCATACATACATATGGTTAGATTTTTTTTATTTTATTTTTTTTTCGGTAAATATCATGAGGTGTCCTCACATTCGAAGAGTGAGATTAATCCCCACTCGGAGTTCAGCTTGCTCTTGGCCACAAAGTACTTCCAACCGGTTTCGAACTCCTGTTATTGAGGCACCAGGTAGCTCGCTAGCCGGAGGTGGCAGTTTGCTAACCGCACCACACCTTGTGGTTGGTTGGATAATTTCTAAACGACATAAGTTTGAATGCTTTGATAACTTTTTTATTGTTTTTATAATTTTTTTATCACATAGGTAATAATAATATTAAAGGAGGGGGATTTGAACACATTATTTTGAATGCATGATAACTGCTTTTAACAAATTGAACTACAAGTTCCTTACTTGAACACATTATCTCACATAGAATGTTTTGAGTGTTATTTTAAACATCGGGTTATCTTGTAAGCTAATATTTATTGAATTGGATTAAATTTTAATTTAATCACTGAGTATTTTATCACATATAAAATAGGTTTTTGATGTGTCTGGCTTGGCGCATGGTGTCATTTTCTCTCTATTTGTGCCATCTTTCTCCATTTATTTTAATTGTTGTTCATGTGGTGATAGAGATGGGTTTGGTGAAAACCCAATTCTGCCTTTAATGATGGACCAAGTTGAACTTTCAACTATGTTTGGGAATAAATATATGCCTTACGAAAGATCATTTTCTTCCTTTTTTGTTAGGTATAATGGCCAAAAGATTCTTTTATTATTATTTTTTTTATATACAAGAGATATTCTATTGATCATATTCGCTCTAATCAACTTGACTAAGCTCACGTATGCAGAAATTAGGTATTTGCCTAACAAAAATGAAACTTCGATTGATCCTTGTGAGCATATTTCAACATTTCCTTTGATTATTTGCACTCTTCCAATATTGATATTGACTTCCCTGTGATCCCTTTGTTTGTGTTGTAAGAAATTCTTTGGAATTGCTTACTGAAAACACAACCTGTCCGCCAAAGTGCCAGTTAATATGCCACAGATTAGATCTAAGGCTACATTATTTTAATCACATTTTTTTTTACCTCGCCTCAAATCACTCCATATAATACGTATAGCATCCTTTAAGTGATTCTAAAGTAAGAGAGTGTCAAATTTCATGCACTTTGTGGCTTTTTTTTTCATTTTTTTTTTTCCATTAATAAGATGGAGGCATGTTTACTTCAAAAACAAAAACACATATTTGCTTTCTCTTTCTAATTTTGGCGTACATGAGGGTGAAAAGCACTTTTTCTACTCAAAAGCTAGTCAAAAGATTTATATTTATATAACTATTTGTTTGTTTTAAGGAAAAATCTGTTCATAATATATTATCAGAGACAAATTCCGTTCAAAAGAGAAAATGTGGTTTTTTTTTGTTTTTTTTGTTTTTTTTGTTTTCTTTCTTTCTAGCCAAGGACTTGTATTTGGCAGTGACCTTGAGAGAGAAGAATGATTGAGCTCTTTTGGATTAACTACAGTAAACCCCCATTTTGGATTAACTACAATAAACCCCTAAACTATGGGGGTCATTACAAACTCATCCCAACCTTTAAAGACTCGTTTGACCAGTATCCCAACTTCATGGAATCTTTCAAAATACACCATCCTTTAGAAAAACCGTTAAAAAATTTATTAACCACTGATATGGCAAAACAGGGTTCCACATATACAAAAAATTAATATAAAATATCTTTAAAATAATTAAAATATCAAATCAAATAAAAAACCAACAAAAAAAAGAGAAAATTCAAAATAAAAAAGAAAAAGTAAAGAAACAAAAAACGCAAACCCAACTCACACCCCCCCCCCCCCCCCCACCCCCCCCCCCCCCCCCCCACCACCCCCCCCCCCCCCCCATTGTCGCTGGAATCTTATCTCTCTCTCTCTCTCTCTCTCTCTTTCTCCTACCAGAACAGCCGTCAATGCCAACTCGCCTATTGTCGCCGGAATCTCATCTCTCTCTCTCTCTCTCTCTCTCTCTCTCTCTCTCTAAATTTGCCCACCCAACACCCTAACCTAGCACTTGGAATTTTTGAGCCAACCCTAGCCTCTTTGTTTTTTGGTTGAAATATGATAATATTAGAGCCCACCCAAAAAAACCTCCTCCGATCTCCATCGCAGTACCTATCTCTCTCCTCACGCTATTGCCATGGCTCCAAGATCCACCTCCCCCTCCTTTTTGTTTTTTGGTTGAAAGATGATAATATTATAGCCCGACACCCCACACCCACCCTCTTCTAGGCACCCACGCCCCACACCAAGCAATCCCTCAACTTTCCCGACTCCATCACCCTATACCCTGACCCCAAATCGTACAAAATCAATCAACACTGGATCCACCCTCACCAATCGATTTCTCACCACACCTAGATGTTGATGTTGTCGCTTACCCAACCCCACAATCTCTCTGACGACATGCAAATCTCCTCCTCGAATAGCCAATCCCACATAGAAACAAAGAGAGATGGAGACAGAGAGAAAGATAAGTGGTGCAGTGCGTCGGTGGTGGGGTTGAGGCTGGGCTAGGTTCGGGAGAGACAGAGAGAGGGGCGGAGGAGAGACTGAGATGAGCATAGAAGATGGTGAGTTTGGGTGGCTAGGTCTCTGGTATTGGTTGGGCAAGTCGTGGCTAGGGCTAGGAGGAGGTAGCTAGTTCTCTGGTCAACTATGGGTGTGCTAGGGACGATGGGATCTGGAGTTTGAGTTCGCAAGGAAGGATGGACTAATGAATGATGGGTTTTTCAATTCAATTTGTAAGACAATAACCACCCACCCAACAAAGTACCAAAAGCTTGTTGGCTAGCTTAATTTCATTGCATTATGAAATCATGTTGAGGGGATTTGTTAGAGTTGTTATGGGTTAAGATCAGGGAAAGCTTCAAGGAATGATGTGTCTCATGAAAGTGAGAGAGAGAGTGGGGGGTTTCTTAGCTAGGGGAGAGAGACAGAAGGGCTGCTTAGGTGGGGGAAAGAGACATAGACAGATACATAGATGAAGAGAGAAGGAAATAGAGGAGAGGGGAAGAGGTACAACGAACTCCTCCTCGTCAAAGAACTAGTGCTGCGTTGAAATTTTTTGGGGGGAGGGCAGTTAGGGTTTGAGTGAGAGGGATAGAGAGAGAGAGATATATATATATATATATTGGGATTTTGATTGTGATGTTGGCCTTTTGCATACTCAAGGTTGAACATAGTTCGGCCAAAATGGCCATAACACGTGCAACATCCGATATTTATTTTTTTATTTTTTTCTTCTTCCTTGAACTAAGAAAAAGATTACACCAAATATTCTCTACAAATCTTTAACACATACAAGTCAAACTGGATTTTATGTAAAACATCAAAAGGAAAATTACTAAATCAATTATAAGTATTGGAGAAATGATGTCCCTTCTTAACCAAAGTATCGGTTGCCAAATTAGCCTCAAAAAAATTATCATTGATAGAAACTGAACTAAATTTGGGTATAAGCTGCCAAATATAGTGAACAACCGTTGTAGGATTCTAAAGAGCAAAATTTCTAACGGTGCGTTTGGATGAAGGAAATAAACTTGGGATTTTGACAGAAGTGAGAATTTCAAAATTGACATAAACCATATCCCATGTAGAACAAATAAATTTAGAAATTCCGCATGGGAAAAAACATGGAATTTGGAGGTTATAAATCCCAATTTTTAAATTCTATCTAAATAGTCATCATTTCTAAAATTTCAAGAGAGATTGAGTTTTTTTTTTAATTTAAAAAAGATAATTTTACAAATAAAAGCTAAATTTTGTGTTTAAATCCATTAGCCAAACAAGAAACTTTACAAATACTAGAACATTAATTTCCATCATTTTAAATCCCATCATTTATGAATTTATTTGTACTTTTAAATTTCCTAATCCAAACACACTATAAATGACGTAAATGAAATTGTCCACTTTCTTTACAAAGAATTTGAATTAGAAGCTTAAAATCACCTTCAATTTCTAAATGACACAAATGAAGTCGTCCTGGCCATAATAAAGTGCGGGAACACATATTTTTCTGGCCAATAAGAAGATGACACGTGAAAAAGGAATATCTCCCTAAATTAAGGAACCAATTTCCACCAAATCTCTTGGATTAATTCATATAATCTTTTTGGGTAAAAATAATCCTAACCAAATAAGGATTATTCTCCCAAAACCCTAGCATATAAGGAGCCTATAAATACATAGCTTTTTGTCGATTCTAGCAGCCGCCAACTGCACGGTCTCACGGCCTGATTTGATGCTCACTACCATGACGGTGCCATCGTGGATCATCCCAACATCACTACCCACGACCATTGTGGTGCTGCTACCAATTTTGGGTTCATTGTGGAAAAATTACAACCTTTCCCTCCTTTTGTCGTCGGGCTCAACGTACGCTCCCCTGTACACCATTAACAAAATCCTAGCCTGTGTTCAATTAGGCTCAACACAATTCTCTCATTCTGATCCACATAGTCAAGCAAAACTCAGTCTTAGAATTGACCAGCTGACTCAAAGAGTAGATGACCAAAACAACTTGGTTGGACAGCTCCTTAACCAGATTGACTTGGTTTGAAACCTTGGCCTTGAGGAGAGAAGGATGGATGAACGCACCAACAGGCAGTTTGAGAGGTCCAAGGTAGGTAGAGCAGGATCGAGCAGTTATGAAGAAGGATAAGAATGACCTGTCAGCGCGCAGGCATGTCACAAGCATTTGTAATCCCCGGTCAAAGTAGATCGAGCGCTCATTCAAGATTATGTCTAAGGACCAAT